TATATTAAGTCTTTTATATAATTACATAACAACTCGAAACTCTCCAAATAAAATTGAAAAGTTAAGAATTAATTCGTAATAACAAAATCGAGAATAATATAAATTTATTATTAAAGATTTTGAGATTGAGAGCATCACACGATGCGTTTCGTCGTTGCTCCGGGGACTCATCGAGTATGTTGGAATGTAACACTACATGGAATACAACATTAAACGATAATCAACTCCCACATATTCAAAATTTATCGATTATTTCAGTAATTGACCTTTCCATTAGCGGAAAGCAGCCAAATCGAAAGAAATCAATAAATTTGCGACGAATACGATTATTATCTGTTTAATTGTGGTACTTAATTGGTGTAAAATAAACAGGGGTGTGTACAAAACTCAAAAATAATTGGATGGAACGCTGGATACGACACATTTCGGCTCTTTCTTGAAGAGTCATCATGAGGTAGGTTCGAAATCATAGTACTACATCAATATAACTAATTCAACATGAACTATAATGCAGCTTAATGTTCAACAAATTTTCTATGAGAGATAATTGGCTTAAATTTAAAATAAAGAAGCAAACAACAAAAATTAATTCAAAGAGGATAAGTAATTTGAAATAAGCTATAAACGATTAGTTATAAGTATCACATAGCATATACACGATAGGATGTGTTAAAATTGATAAGATTTGAAGCTCCATACGACGCGTTACAACTGTTGCTTATGAGCCTTGTCAAGAAAAGTTGGAATCACCCGAATGCTGCATAAAAATCCTTCGATTCTAGGATCAAAAAAAAGTTTTAAGATCGAAAAATCATCACCGCGGATTGAGATCCCAAGTGAGATTATTGATGTTGACGATTTGACACAGGGTTGGAAACAAGGGAAAAGCGAGACTCTTGTACTCAGGAGTACACTTGGAGTACGGATGGAGTACCGTGGAGTCTACCTGGAGTACGAGGAGTACGTACTCTATAGACGTCAGCTAGACTCCAATGTAGTTCACCCCTACTCCGCTGTACTCCAACTGTACTCCACTTATACTCCAGTTGTACTTCAACTGTACTTCAGCTGTATTCCATCTGTGCTTCACTGTACTCCAACTTTGGAGTCTCGCTTTTCCCCCTTGGTTCGAAACCATTTTTCAGTAAGTTTGCATCGTTAACAATATGTGACAATGGGCACTATCATAGATATACATATCCATGTATGTGTAGGTATGTTTATATGTTAATCAGGGATGATTTTATCCTTTTGGATGTCATCCTTAGTTTACATTGCGCTAGTGTGATGTAATTAGTGTGATTGACTAATTCTTGTTCTTGTTCTTGTTCTGTTCAATAACATCTGTCCTGTTTCTGTTGGTGTAACTTTCATCGTCCTCTCTCTCTCTCGTTGTATATATATATATATCTTTTCTTCTGTTCTCTTTCCTTCTCTCGTATAACTGAGTGATCTAATGTATCACTATATAAAGAGAGGAAAAAAAGGAAGAACAGGGACAGACCAGAGGATAGAATAGTGTAGATAACATCGATGATATACTGAATATATCGGTAGCACTATTCTTCCAGTTTGTCCATTGTGATCACAATTAGATTTAATGAATAAAAGAAATGCTGCAGCCGTAACATCTGAATCCCTTATTATCATTTTTCGTTACAACTGGCGACCCTGGCAGGAAAACTGAGAGTAATATTATTATCATTTTACGTTACACAATAGCTCTTCGAAATATTGATATTAGCAATCGTGATTGTCCAAGTAGATTGAATTGGTAGCTTTTGTTTTCATATTAGTAGTCGATTCATTTTATTCAAATCTTTATGATACTGAAGTGGAAAAACCTCTTTTTAATCTGATGAATCATCAAAAAATTATACGAATGGGTCTCTTTGTCGAATATATTTACGCCACATGTTCTCTTTGGGCAAATACTCTTTGAATTTCATCAGGCACTATTACTTGACACACATCATCAATGCGATAGAACTTCTTTTCCAATGTTTGTACTGTCACTTTGAGTTTCTCATGGTTCTTCATAGCCATCATAGCTTGTTCAGCACTTGAACGTTGCTGAGGACTTTTCTTCATTAGAAGATGAATTATATCTTCAAAACCGTCCTTCTCGGGTGCAACAATATCCATGGCGTCGGGAAGATTCGCGAATCGTATATAATCAGTTTCACCTGCCCATGGAAATGCTTCATACAGCAAAAAGTAAAACATAACTCCAGCTGACCATACATCTGCTCTTTTGTGTACACGTTTTTCTTGAGGATTTACACTAAAATTCAGAAATTCTGGGGCTACAAATAGCGGCGTATAAGCTTTTCCACTGCCAACGGTCTTTTGGGAGCGCTTAGTATCAAGCCTCTCAACAGTACCAAAGTCAATTAGTTTAACCAAGAAACTTTTTTCGCGTTCAATGACAACCAAATTGGCAGGCTTAATATCTCCATGAACGATACTCAATTTTTCGAGAAATACCAATGCACGCAACACGTACATGAAGATGAGCACACCAATTATAAACTTTGCTTCATGGTCTGCTTTAGATATTTTGTCCACCCAGAATTTATTGAGATCACAATCAGCTAATTCCAAAGCAATATACATACCACCTTCTGTCATCAGACAACCGTAATACTCGATCACTGGATTGTTTTCGATTTGAATCTTTTGTACTAATTTTAGGAATTTCACTTCTGCTTCGATTTGATTTTGGATACCGGTTGTACTTTTTATGAATTTAATGGCAACTTTCCGATTATCTGGACTTCGAGCTTTGTGCACCTCACCGAATCCCCCTTTGTCAACATATTGGTACATTTCGTAAGTCACGCCTTCGATTTCAACCGTCTTTTTTATGCTATCAATCACACGATCTTGGATTTTCTGATGTAAAATTGCTAATAGAAGAACAGCCACTCTCTCTGCCAATGCTTCTTTTTCTTCCTTGTGAGCTTTCTCGCGTTCGACCAAAGTGTCCTTTAGCTTTTCGCATATTGCCAGCAATGTTGCATTCTGCTCTCGCAGCTCAGTAGTCACTTTCGACTCACGGGGTCCCATGCGTAAACGTCGTCCAACGATGAGAATAAAACACGCTACCAAATAGTATCTGGTAAACGAACGTTAACAAGGATGATGAAGAATTGTGAATGATGATATGTAGAAACATGTAGTTAAGAACAGCCAACTCATATCTTTGTTATCAATCTCACACCACGTTATGCAAACAAGGAATGCGCGTTGTCACGACGTGCTTGATTCTCTGTCGTCCTTCTTGTGAGCTTTTCATCGAGCCTATCATATCCTTTGAAATGTGATTATGAAACAGCATGCACGGATTTCACCTTAGACAGAAACTGGGGTTCGACCAATGGTTTTCAATAAAATAGGAGATAAGATTTGAAATTCAAAGCATCACACGACTAGTTTTCTTCTCTTCCCGAGAGATCGATTCAGTACTTTCAGGTAGGTTTCTATACACTAAAAGTATATGTTGTGTTTTATGAAAGAGACTTTTTCGAACTATTATTAAAGTTATTTGATAAACCGGATCTTTAAAGTTAATATTTTGTTGACCTTTCAAGTTGTGTCTTTCAAAAATAGAAATAAAGATTTTAGAATTCAGAGGATCGACACGACGCATTTCATCCCACCTCAAGGGACTCGTCAGGTATCTTTAGAATTCTATTATTACATAAATCGAAGCTCTCCAATAATTGAAGAAGTTAAGACAAATTCGTAATAATTCTATAAACCAAAGTATATTATTAAAGATTTTTAGATTGAAAGCATCGACACGACGCGTTTCTACCTTGCTTAAAGAACTCAACGGGTATGTCTACAATCTTTGAGTACATATATCTAAAACTCTCCAAAATTTTGAAGTAGTGATAGACAAATGCGTACTAAATCCAAATAACAATATTAAATTATTATTATTAAGAAATTTTTTAGATTGAAAGCACTACACGACTAGTTTCGTTCTTGCTTAAGGGACTCAACGAGCATGTCTACAATCTATTATTACATAAGAATTCCAAACTCTCCAGTATTTTGAAGTAGTGTAGAACTATTTCGTAATAATAAAATCCGGAATAATATTATTTTATTATAAGAGATTTTGAGACTGAGAGCATGACACGATACGTTTCTTCTCTTCATGAGATATCGATTGAGTAGTATGGGATAGGTTTCTATACACTAGAAGTGTATGTTGTATTTTATCAAAGAAACGTTTTCGAATTATGATGACAGTTATTTGTGAAACAGAGTCTTTGGAGGTAAAATTTCTTGAAATTTCAAACTGTGTCTTTGAAGTGTTTTCTATATTCTTTTAGGTTTGAGCTTTCTGTTGTGAAATTTTAGGGTTTAACTAATCTTAACTGTAAGCAGAGTACCTCTGAGTGTACTTCTACTAAATCGTGTGTTCTTCTCTACTTATGAAACTCCTTTCGTCGCACCCACACCTGTTGCGATGTGGTGAGCGCGTAAGATTGTATGGTTCGTAGTCTCTTCGATTGCTTCGGTGTGAAAATTAAAAGTCGAAACTTGAAGCTACAACTGTTGTTACAAGCATGAGTTGGATGGGGTCATTTAACTTTGGTGTATGGAGAGATAAATTGTGAGCTTGTATAAAAGTGATCTTATAAAATAAGTGAAGCGAGAGTTATGACTGCTGCCAACCTCACTTAAAACTCTCGTAAGAGGGTGTAGTTGTATAGAGTGTTAGAATGGATCTTTTATGGCATTCGAGATAAAAAGATAAAAATTATTCACCGACAGTGGTGATACAGAGTACCAGAACGAGTTTTGACTTGACTTTAAGT